CCAGCGGAGGGCAGGTGCGAGCAGGAGTTGGTTTACACCGTTGCCCCCAACATGGCTTCTGTCTCCGTCAAAATCTCGTTCTGGTTGGAATCCAGTCCGAAAAATTTCACCTTGAGTCCATCGACTGGGTGGACCACAGGCACCAGCATGAGTCTAGGGAAAGTCCTGGTGACCAACTCGAACCGGCTTGTGCTGGCCAGCTCAATGGCTAGTGCCTTGAGGAAAAGCTTGGCCAGATGCTTGCCAAGACAGGTCCGTACGCCCCCACCGAAGGGGAGGTAATGGAACCTGCCATCTTTGTCTTCGGTGCGACCCTGCCCAAAACGGTCCGGGTCAAAAACGTCCACATCCTTGAATACCGGGGCGGTGTCATGGGTGTCCCGGATGCTGTACATGACACTCCAGCCTTTGGGGATCTGAAAGCCCTGTAGAGAAGGGGAAAGAAAGACAAGAAATGCATCAGCGTCACGTGGCCATCCACTGAATAGATGTAAAGACACTAAAGAGAAAAGAAATCTCATATCAATCCCAGTTGCCAGAAAAATCAATAGAGCCATTTTGCAAAGAACTCAGCCAGCCCAGAACAGGTCAAAGCATTTGTAACGCTCTGGGCTCCTATTTAATATCTCTGGGTTTCTCTTGCGAATCATTTGTACGAGTTTGCACGACTAACGGCGCTAATATTGTGTGGCACTTAACACCCTTAAAAGACTACTGTGGCACTGCAGGGTGCTGGGGTGCCTTGGTCAGGACTCACTGATCTGGGCACGACCATAATATAAAGGGTCATTTATTTGTATGTTAGGCAGCACCTTCTGTAATCATTTGTATTTTGTCCTTGGGATAGTCAGCTATGCTCTGATCCGTTTATGCCCCCACAAAATCTTCCCCCCTGCCCAAGCAGCTGCAGGATGTGAATCTTTGTTTGTCGCTTTGCTTTTATGGCTCTTTCACAAGAAGCAGGAAAGGCGAAAAAAGCTAAGCTTTCCAAAATAAAACGGCTGGAAGGTTGTTGTAGCTGTGACAATCCAGGAAATACATGAGACGCAATTAGCCCACACCCACTTTGTGACCAAAAGCTCATCGAACATCTCTCCCAGCTATGCAATTGGTCCAATAAAAGAGGTCACCCCCCAGAAAAACCCACCCAAAACACCCCTTAATTTTCATAGAAACGGCAAGCCCTGCCTGCAAAAACCCAAGGGATAGCCAACCTGGGGGGAGGCGAGGCAAGCTGGAGACGTGGAAATATTCATAGCTTGGTTTCGTGAGCTGATCTAACAAGTAGATGTCATCCCTTTAACCCCTGCCTAGTCTAGTTACACGAGTGCAACTTGAAAGACTTTCCTTTAAACCAGTCAGAGACCTCAGCATCTAGACCACCCGATGATGCAGGAAAATGCAGCTTTCTCCCACCTCTGCTTTCTTCCCGCTTGTCATTCAGCCCTTCCCATTGCAATGTCCAGACAAGCTATACAGGAGGCACTGGCATCCCCCCTTCCCCTACACACGTAACAGCATACGCCCATAATGCGAATTAGCGCCCAGGTGTTCAGGGAAAGCACTGATGCGTATGTAGAGCAATTTATCCTCCCCTGATGACTTTAAACAGTCTCTGACTCCAATCCAAACATTAATAGAGATTTGCTGCGACAGCCGGGTCTCTCTCAACGTTTTGTTTTGCCAGTAGAAATTTCCATCCGTTGTGGTGAGTCACCAGCCTGTCATCCAAAAGGCTGTGGCTGCCCTTTGCAATAACCTTTCCCCCGTCACACCCCAATTTAGGTTTTGGCTTCAAAGCCATCACGAGTTTCTCTTTCGACATTTAGACTTTTCTCAACTTTGGCAGCCTGGAAGATTTGGTGCCAGGTCATGGGCCACGTTGTGAGTCAGTTGTACCATGGGGGACACAGAGCAATTGCACTGATCTCCCACCGGCAGGACTCTAATTCATCCTCTCTCTGGGTTAAATTGCTAAGTAGGTATCGAGCCCCATGCAAGTTTCTCTAATTGCATGTGATCCCTTGTGCCCAAATCAGGCTGTGAACATGCACGAGTATGTAGATAAATATTAATAATCCCCCGTGCAACCGTCAAGATATGGTGTACTACCTGACACTACCTGATCTCCTCCTACACCACATATTTCACCTGCCACAAAAACTTCCTCTTTGAGAAAGCCTCTGAGCGTAAATGAGACTCGCAATACAGAATATACCCAGAATACCCTCAGGAAAGCTTCTACATCTCCTTGTTTGCATGGCTGTGCAAAATTTATTCCCCCCTGTCTGAGTTATGTAGGAAGGTTCAAAAAGGTCCTTTCCATATTCTGCATCAACAGTCAGATCATCAAAATCATGGAGAAGTCAGGTTGGAAGGGACCTTCGGAGATCGCATCTCACCTAACCTCCTGCCTGAGATGGGATCAGCCCTGGCCAAGCCATCCTATACAAATCCATCATCTAAACTCTTCAGAAAACTATTGTCAACCCTGCCGCAGCACAAGACATCACATCTGAACCTGCCGCAGGTAAAGCTGTGGGACCCAAGTCCTGCTTTTCCACCCCCTGGAAAATGCTAGCTCTGAACTTCTACTCCTTTCTTGCCTACAAAAAAGATAACAGAGCAATTCTTCTGTTGCAAAGAAACCAGAAAGACCCCCAATAGGTCAACATAGATTTGATCCAATGGATTCCTATTGGAAATCTCTGGATTTATTTCGTGACTCACATGCAGGTGTTTGCACACCTAACAGTGCTCATATTGTATAACACCCTGCATCCCCCTTAAAAGGATCTCACGTTACCCTGGTTGAGAATCGCTGCCGTAGTCTCTAAGATCCTCCACCCTCTATGTCCATCTGGACCTGGCACCCCTTGCTTGTCCCTGAAACCCAAGTGACCCTGGCACACATCATCCTAAAACTGTCCATATGGACCTGGCACCCCTTGCTTGTCCCCAGAGCCCAAGTGACCCTGGCACACACCATCCTAAAGTTGTCAGGTCCCACTGGGAGGCAAGCAGCAAGATGCACCCAGAGCTGAAATACTCACATCCAGCTCGAAGGTTTGCAGGACCGTCCTGTACCCTCCAGAGATGGGAGTGAAGAGACGCAGCACCTCCTTGATCACGCAGTCCAGATACTGCAGGCTGCTGATGTTGTCAAGCCGGAGGGATCCCTCGCAGATGCAGCCATTGTGGAGGATGCCCTTGGTCCGCAACTCCTCGCGCAGCTTCTCCAGGACCCGGGGGTGTTTGAGGAGCTGCATGATCAGAGAGGTGCTGGCACTGGCCGTGGTCGCGTAGGCGGCAAAGATCAGCTCCAAGGTGCCGTCCTGAAAACAGAAGGAAGCCCACGTTACATGCTGGAAGGACAAAACACAGCTGACTATGGAAGGTGCTGCCTAATAGACAAAGAAATCACCATTTGTATTATGGCCGTGCCTGAAGCAGTGATTCTGCACCAAGGCAATACAGGGCTGCTGCAATGCATGCATTGGAGCAGGCACTGGATGCAGGGAGGCAATACAGGGCTGCTGCAGTACAATCCTCCTACAGCACTCACCTTCCACTGGCTGGATTTCACAGCTGCAATGAGCCCAGTTTGGTCTCAGCCCAGCCCTCAAAGAAAGCATATGCCCATCGTGCACATTGGCACAACTGGCTTCTGCTGCCAGGCCGAGGAGGAGGAAGTCACTGAAGAGGTCAGGGATGCTTTCCAAGCCAAGGGAGAGACATGTCCCTGTGTGCTTTAGGGTGGTTGGGGGTGGCCGCGTTTGCTTCCCCCGCTGACGCAAGGGCACGCACACATACGCATGCGCACACGTGCACACACGGCACTGCAGCTCTGCAGGGCTTCCCCTGGGCTCTGCCGCGAATCCCAGCAAAACCACCCGGCTCCCCCACCCCGCCCCGCCTGTCCCTGGCACAGGAAGGGGTAAGCAACCTCTCGGCTGGGGGTACTGGGGGCCATATCCGGATTGCTCCTGACCCCAGCCAGAGCCTGCTGCCTGCTCTGGAGGTGCAACAGCCCAACTGAGTGGTGGGCGAGACCCACGGGCAGGAAAGTTTCTACTGTCCTTCACCCCCTCCCTTGTTCTCACCCTCCGCCCCCCCCCAGAAACACCACCCCGGGGGCTGAAAAAGCATCTCCATTTTCCATGGCAACATGCCCCCTCTCTTGATCCACTTGGCAATGATGACAACAGCAGGTCTAGGGGTGTATTTGGTAGCTGTGTGACAAAAGAAATGCAAAAAAAAACTAGAATTCTTGGTTCGGAAACGATACCTTTTATTAGACCAATAATAGGTGTTATTACCAATATTAGACTCAGCTGGTCTAATAAAAGGTATCATCTCTGAACTTATATGTATACCTGCTATCGTTTCAGCAAATGAGGCAAGTACCTGTCTGCTAGGAGCCGGGCTGAAGCTGACCAGCTGCTACAGATGCAGCAGGTAGCAGTGACAGCCTGAGCCGGGTTTCAATGGGTGACCCAATGCTCCAGCCTACATGCCAGCCTTTCCTTCCCAGCTGCAGCCATGTGCCCGGCTGACGGCCCCTGGAGATTTGCAAGCACGAACCACACAAAAGCCAGCTCCGTCTCAAACAGATTTAGCAAACGACAACAACGGGGAGCCCTGTGCGAAGCGTGGCACAGCCGGCAGCAGCCCCGCTTCAATCATTCCCGTGTCATAGGAAGCAGAAAACGTCCCCGTGGGATGCCTTCCCTCTTCCTCTCAGCACCACCCGCGTGGCTAAGTTTCAGCTACTTGTTGGGTCCAAGCCAATGAGCTCTGAAATGAGGCACCCGGCTGCAGCGGGTGCCCAGGGACAAGATAGATGGAGCTGAGAGCCCAAGATAGGGCTGGGGACCCCCCCCGGCACACACGGGTGCAGGAAAGTCGCCTCCCCGCTCTGCTCCTCCGTCCCCTCCCCTGCCGCGCTGAGAAGCAGCATCGTGAGCGGTCCTGGGCCCGGCGCTGGGGTCCGTGTTTGCCGCGCGCCTGCAAACAGAGAGCACCTCTATGCCGCAGCGACACGGTTCCCAGAAACGCTCTTTGTGGAGGCCTGGATAGGATCGCTAAATAAACACGGCTCTTGGGGAAACACGCCGCTCTGGGCCTGCCCTTGCAGGGCAGCTGATGGAGTGAGCTCAGGCTCCTGAAAGCTCATTTCTTTGCCTCCAATTTAGCGAGTCTGCAAGGTACGAATCCACCCTGACGTCAGGCTAACGCGGTGAATGACCTCTCTGTGCTCGGGGGGAAATGGCCGGGCTGCCGAACCGCAGCGTCCCGGCGGGGACTGAGAGGCAGCGTTGCCAGCACGCCCATGCGACGGCAGCCCCTGGGTCTTACTTCTTGCTGGCTTCCTCCTGTCTCGTGTTCGAGCTGCCTGGGGATCATCTGGGGAAGGGGGAGAAGGACCCAGACAGCAAGCGGCCCTGCGGCAGTGAGTTCGGGGAGGTGGAACAGCTGGAAACACCTGGGAGGACGTCCTTACCTTCAGCTCCTGCATGGTCAGCTCTTTGCCATGCTCCTTGCCACTTTCTATCAGGATATCCAGCGCATCGGCGTAGTCTTTGCCCTGCGTGTTCTGCAGTTTCTCCCGAATGGCTTTCTCCAGCCCCTTCTGCAAGGTCTCGCGTGCTCTGATCCCCTAGAAAACGCCAAGCCGTCAGCCTGTGAAACGAGAAGCCGGGGCATCGCAGCTTCTCATCCACCCCAGGGCACCCAGAGGAAATCAGCTTTAAGGGGCCTACAATTTGCATGGGATGGCGGGGCGTCGCAGTGCTAGAAAGAAGTCCTGGGCAAACGTCCTCGGACATCCCCAGTTCACACACGCTTTACCTCCCCGTCCCGTGTCACATTTCCTCCCCTAAAGGAATCCACCCATCCCACAGGAGGGCTCCTCTTCCCATGAATGCAATGTCAGTCCCCAGCTGCCTTCCCAAAAGCAATGGCAGGTTTGCAAGAGCAAGGCTGAGGCTCCTAGCTAGCACCTTGATCTGCAGAGGATCTCAAAAGCATCCCATCCCTGGAGCACCACTGAGAGGAGCATCCCTCCCAGAAAGCTGGGTCAGAACAGGAGGAAAGTTTGTAACGGGGGTGGGAAAAAACGGAAAAGAAATTTTTCAAACGTCTGCTGCTCTCTGAGGTCGCTGGGTTCAGGACAAGAATAAAAATTAAATGTTTTTCGTTTTCTAAAACAGCTGACTTTTCGAGCCTTCCATCCAAAGATTGGAAAGAAACTAGAAATGAGAGGAAAAGCCGGTTTCCCGGTGCTTTTCAAGCAGTCGGATATGTGAGTAAAAGCCGGGCACGGAGAGCTGATGGCAGTCGAGTTAGGTGATATGAACAAAGAAAACCCCCTGCTAAAAAAGCAGCAAAATGCCACCTACTCCTCCCTGTGTCAGACTGCATGGGGCCAAGGAAGCAAGAGCGGGATCCCAGCACATTTCTGCATCAGGGACTAGAGAATAAACACGAAGGCAAGGAATAGGCATCCTGATACCTTTCCACCCCCATCACCTGGGCATGGCACTGATCGCTTTATAGTCTCAGCACTTCCAGCCATTAATGGGCTCCCCAGTGTGATGCAGGGGTATTGCCCCCAATATACAGATGCAAACTGAGGCGCGGGGTGGGTTAAGCGACTGCCCTAAGCCCACACAGGGAATCTGCGGCACAGTGAGGAACATCTCCTTAATCCCAGACCAGTGCTGGACGCCACGACACTGGACCCCCCACCCTAGGCAGCATTTGGGGAAGCCTCTTACCCTCCTGTAGCCGCTGAAAGGCAAGTCCAGGGGCAGGGAGAAGACGTTCTCCACGAACTGCTGGTAGACCTCGAAGAGCTGGCCGAGCTCCTCGTCGGGGATGCGGAAGCCCAGCAGGACCCGGATGGCCATGCGGAAGGTGAGCTTCTGCGTCTCGTGGTAGACGTTGATGGGTTCGGGGGTGCTGCTCCACACCCGGAGCGTGTCCTGGATCACCAGCTGGATCTTGGGAAGGTAGCTCTCCAGAGCCTCATGACTGAAGATTTTGGAGAACACCTGCAATCAGAACATGCCCGTCTTGACAGCGTCCTCCTAAAAGCTGAGCAGGATCTGGCAACACAGCTCGGGAACCCTGCAAGGTACTGCAGGCATCCCCGGAAACACAGAGGGCCTGAACTCAACAAATGGCAGGGTAAGGGACTTGACCAAGGTCACCCTGGTCAGCAGTGGCACAGCTAGGAAAAGAAGCAAGCTCTCCTTGTTCCTGGCTGGATCCTGGTGCCCCTGAGTGACCCTCCAGGCTTAAAACCAGCACGCAGACAATCCTGCAGGCAGATAGCAGCAGTGCTTACAAGAGACCCTACAATAACAAAGCAGCAGAGGGGTGCGGGGAATGAATCCCAGGCGATGGAGAGCGTGCTTTCCAGCTTTACAAGTAAGCGCAGCGCTGGCATGGGCAGGCCTGGCTCCCATCCCCATCCTTTTATACCAGTGAGGTTCCT